TCCTGATCTCTCCCCCTTTTTTTGTTTGTTTGTTGTTGCTACTGTCTGTCTCACAGTTTCAATGTTCTAAATGACGGTGTTCTAAATAAGTAATTTGTGTGAATGTTTCTTACACCACAATAGACTCAACACCGCTGCACGCGTGGTTGAAAGAGGAGGAGTTGGGTACCGAGTTTGTTCCCCCGTCTTTAATTGAGTGAGAAGACTGAAACAGAGAATAAAGAAGATAAAGATACAGAGGCAGATTGACAAAAGAGGGAATCAGAAAGATGGGCAGGGAGAAAGAGCTTTGAGATTTTAAAAAAAAATTATTACTATAAAAGGAAGGACAGTGTTTTATGCAGTTTGTTATCTCTTCTGTGCTACTTAAATATTGCTCAATTTCTAGAACTGGAATTTTGGAGCCTTGATAATAATTAATGATAATGATAATGGATTGTAGATTCTACTTCTGATCTTTCTTCTTGTTGTTTAAGTTGGAGAGCGCCCCTGGTAGGTCATAAATATTTCTTATCTTTCCGGTCTATGTATTTTTGGTTTTGCTTCTTCCCCCCACTATACTAATTTGCCGTTATCGGGCCGGACTAGCTTAGGGACCGGCGAGTTCTGTAGGCTACTTCTGGTGGCTGGTGGAAACATTGTCTGTCGTGGTACCGTTTTCATTAGAGCTGGGCAATGAGTCGCTTCAGCAAAATCCGGATAATATTTTAGTGCACCTCTTCTTATGATATGAACCGCTTCGGCAAATGGGTTAGAACCACTTTGACAAACGGGTTATCATCACTTCAATAAATGGGTGCACCCACTCCGGCATACGGGTCAGGAAAGAGAGTTAAGAGTCTGAATTCGGATAATGTTTCATTGAGAATTATCCGGTTATCCTTTCGGATTATCCGGATTTTGCCCACCTCTTTTTTTTCTAGTTTTCATTACCATCGGCCATGGTGCGGTCTTCATTCAACATCGGTCATGGTATCGTCTACATTCACCAATTGGTCATGGTATTGTTTTCTATCGTCTTTGGTCGTGGTATCGGTTTCATTCATCATGAAGGTCAGATATCAATTACATTTATTATATTATAATATTTCATGGCATTACCACATACAAAAATTTGGGCTTTTAATAGTCCCAAGTATAGTCTGCGCTTCTTCTTCTTCTTCTTCTTCTTCTTCTTCTTCTTCTTCTTCTTCTTCTTCTTCTTCTTCTTCTTCTTCTTCTTCTTCTTCTTCTTCTTCTT